ACTATTCTGATACTTCATTGAACCCCGCATGTGTATATTTTGCTCATCCAACATTGCAGGCTTATATTGTTTTGGTTTCTTTTGTTTAAATACTTTAACCTTTGTCTCAGCAATATTGATTTCAGTGGGAACTTTTTATTGCTTCAAAAGGAATGCTGTATACGGAGTGTCCAACAGATGTAGAAAGCAAAATGAACCAACTCATTCTTGAATCATGGTCTAACTGAAAATAGCTTAAGTAATCATTTAATATCATGTCTAACTATGCACTCTGACATTTTAATGAATAGTATATACTTTTTGTATTAGTTTTCCATACATTTACTCTCTGTACAGATTATGACACATTTAATTTGTTTTATATTGTCACTAGAGGCCCGGTGCACAAAAATTTGTGCACTCGGGGGGGGCGGGTCCCTCAGCCCGGCCTGTGCCCTCTTGCAGTCTGGGACCCCTCGGGAGATAACAACCTGCTGGCTTAGGCCTGCTCCCGGGTGGCAGAGGGCAGGCCCAATCCCTAGGTGCAGCCCCTGGTCGGGCTCAGAGCAGGGCCGATTGGGGAGTTAGGGCGCCGCCCCTGTCATGCACAGAGCAGGGCGGATCTGGAGGTTGTGATGCCACCCTCAGTCACCCTCAGGGTAGGGCCGATTGGGGGGGTTGGTGCACCGCCCCCTGTCACACTCAAGGCAGGATCGATGGGGAGGTTGCGGCGCCACCCCCTGTCAAGCACAGAGCAGGGCCCATCAGGGGGTTGGGGCACCGCCCTCTATCACACACAGAGCAGGGCCCATCAGGGGGTTGGGGCGCCGCCACTCTCACACTCAGGGCAGGGCCGATGGGGAGGTTATGGCTCTACCCCATCACACACAGAGCAGGGCCTGTGGGGGGGGGGGCGGTTGGGGAGCTCCCCCCTATCAGGCACAGAGCAGGGCAGCTCAGGGGGTTGGGGCCCCACCCCCTGTCACACACAGAGCCGCAGGGCGATCAGGGGGTTTGGGCGCTGCCCCCTGTCACGCTGATCCTGGTGCCGGGAGGCATATTACCCTTTTACTATATAGGGTAGAGGCCTGGTGCATGGGTGGGGCCGGCTGGTTTGCCCTGAAGGGTGTCCTGGATCAGGGTGGGGGTCCCCACTGGGGTGCCTGACCAGTCTGGGTGAGGGGCTGAGGGCTGTTTTCAGGCTGGGGGTGACTGAAGTTCCCAACCGCTCCTTTTTTTCTTTTTTTTTTTTTTTATTCTGGGCCAGCTTTACCTTGAGGCTTGGCTCCAGCTCTTGGGCCTCCGCGGCGGAAAGTAGGTTTCTGGCCTTTGCTTACAATGTTGCGAATCTGCTGGCTGAAGTCCGGCAGTATTTGTTACAATGTTTCTTTAACTGCCGGCTCAGAGGCCTGCAGCCTCAGGTGGGGAATGTTGGTTTCCTCCAACGATCCTTCGTCACTGAGGCAAGCAAGCCTCATGTTAGTTTCAAGCTGCCTGGCTGCCGGCCGCCATCTTGGGTGACAGTTAATTTGCATATCTTGCTGATTAGCCAATGAAAAGGGTAGCGGTTGTATGCCAATTACCATGTTTCTCTTTTATTAGTGTAGATAGTCATGAGTAATACTCAGTTATTCTTTGAGTATTACTGAACTTGAATTTACACATTACATAAACATATACATCTTGACTTATGTTTTTAAATTTGAAAAACTTTTGCATTAACTTTTTCGTGAAGTTTAATCAATATTAACCAAATTGGTTAAATTAACAATGGAACTTTTTATTAGATAGTTGTTTATTTATGCCTATAATTTAGTTACCAGTCATAATCTTACCCTCTGTTAAAGAAATTTTGAAATTTTTGGACAATTTAAAAAATACCAGGGTTAAATAGGGAATGTATTAAAATTGGTTTCCACTCTCAAAAGTTGGGTAGAATAGTTGGGACCATCTTTGTACTCATATTTTAGCCAGATTCTTGACATTATTGAAAATAGATCTTTAAAATAAGAATAAAATCATTGCTGATCTAAGGCTGCCACATTCATTTCAGCTGATTATCTATCTATATAAAACCTAAGCGACCATCGCAACCGAACAGATGAACGAACAGGCTACATGGGGCGACCAGGCCGGCAGGGGGGTTAGTGCGGGGTGACCCAACGACTGAGCAGCAGTCTGTGTGGGGCGACCTGGCTGGCAGGGGGTTAGTGAGGGACAACCAAACGACCGAGCAGCAGGCTGCATGGAGTGACCAGGCCAGCAGAAGGGGAAGTTAGGGGCAACCAGGCCGACAGGTGTGGGCACTGGGGTGATCAGGCCTGCAGGCAGAGGCGGCTAGGGATGACCAGGCTGGCAGAGGGGGCAGTTAGGGGTGATCAGGCAGACAGGCAAGTTAGGAGCCAGCAGTCCAGGATTGTGAGAGGGATGTCCAACTATCAGTTTAGGCCCTATCCTAAACCTGCAGTCGGGCCTAAACCGGCAGTCGGAAATCCCCCGAGTGGACCTGGATTAAAGAGGGTGCAGGCTGGGCTGAGGGGACCCTCCCCACCCCAGCCACCATAGACGAATTTCGTGCCTCTAGTTCTTTATAAAAATCCACCCTCCCACCCTCTGTGTGCAAATAGGACTCTATACCCACAAACCCCCACAGGAGCTGGACCTGCCCCAGAGAGCATCATCCTTTTTCGAAGTTGTGGAGCCGCTTCTGTTTTTCAAGCCATGTGCCCAGAGGACAGCCCAGAGAGGGAATCTTTTTCAAGTTGATACAATTGAGATATATGGGACAATGATGGCCCTGTTACTGAAGAAGTTTTTATGGATGAATTGGATTTCAAGGAAAGCCATTATAAATGGTAAAGATTTATTATGTGGATCACAGGGAGAAGGGTTTTGCATATGGGAGAAGGGGAGCAGCGTTTATCATGGGTGGAAGTACAAGGTCTGAGATGAATGAGACATCTGCAGTAGTTAGTGAAGAGACAAGATTGATTGGAACAAAATGTGCGTGTCTTTGATGAGCAGAGGATTAGATGGGAAAGGTCAGCAAAGGTCTGATCATAAGGATCCTGAGTACAGTGTAAGGAATTTGGATTTCATCTCCCAGATGAGAAATCACCCTAGGCATTTGTCCAAATGCATCACATGATCAGTGATAACTTACTTTAGGTAGATTAACCCAAGGTTATACAGCATTGAATAGAAGGAATAAGGAAAGATTAAAGGCAAGGAGACAAGTTAGAAGATGCTATATACAGTACATGGTTTTCCTTATCTAGCCAAGGATCTAATGAGGATGAAAGGAAAAGCTGACTTCATAGTTGTTGTTTTTTATTATAACCTGATCTCCGAAAGGAATCCATATTTATTATAGAAATTGTTGAAAATTTGGATATGTACGAAAGAAAATTAAAATCACCATTCTCTTTTAAATCATAGATGAACACAGCATTTTAGGCACTGTTGATTTTTTATTTTGTTTCAATTTATGTATGTTGACATTATGGTATATGAACACTATTTTTATATAGCTTGTTATTTTTGTCATTACTACTTAGTAGGCATTTCTTTTGTTAATAAAAATTCCCAGAGAACCACATTTTTAATGTCTATAACTATTTTATTTCACGAGTAGTGTAATTAACTATTCCAATGAATATAAATTCAGAATGTTTTCAACTTTTGTTATTATTATTAATACTACTATAATGAATATCAATCCACATAAATGTTTTATTTTATACTCCTCTCCTCTTTGCTACAAAAAATTAAATTACAAAATAATACAAAAACTAAGTTGAGCATTTTGTTCATTTATTTATTTTGCCTATTTTGATTTCAGTTCTGATAACATGTCCTACCCTTAGTACATGTTAACAATTGTGGGGGAGGGGTCCTTTATGAAGATTTATTGAAATTATTGTCTTATTTTATTGCTTGCCATTTAAAATGAAGTATTTTGATCCATTGTTCTGTATATGGGCATTTAGATTCTTTTCAGCTCTTCTCTATTTTAAACAATGTGTGTGTGTGATGAATATCATTGCACATATTTTCATGTGCACAAATAAAAGGGTATAAACCTTAAAAGTGAATTACAGGGGTTGAGGACATATAAATCTTCAACTCTAGTAACTTATGTAAACTAAAGCAATTTACGCTCACTTCTGCGGGCAGCACAGAGAAATTCCAACTTACCCACATCCTTGGCAGCCCTTCCTTTTAAATGCCTGCAAATCTGATGGATGTGAAATAGTATCTTATTTTGTTTTGCATTTTTCTGAAAACTGATGAAGTTTAGCATGTTTTATGTCTGTTGGCCATTCAAACTTCTGGTCTGGAATTTGCCCATTTTGTATTTAGTTACAGTCTTTGTCCTTTTTTTTTTTTTGGTATACTCTGGATACTAATCCTGTGAAAGTTGTATCACTTGCCAAGGTATTCTTCCAGTATCTGTCTTTTAAACCTGTTTATTAAAAATTAAAAACAATTTTAGGCAAACTTATCAAAGTTATAAAGTGTGGGTTATAACTATCTTGGTTAACACTTTCTCCAAAGTCAAAAGCCTTTCACCTGCCTTTTGTTGCCATTCTTTATAAGTTAATTACTTCACATTTTTAATTCATCTGACACTCATTTGCATAACTACGGAGACATTTTCCAGATTCAGGAAAGTGAATGGTATAAAACAAACACAAATTGGGTGAACTGTATTTATTATAGTTTCCATTTTAAGTCTGTAATTGAACCCTGGAGAACTGTTTGTTTTTATTTAAGCAACAGGTAGCCACATCCCCTGAGGTTTGCGGTAATGAAATTAATGTCTTTCTCATTGACTACACAGCAAATCTACGGGTGTTCATCTACATGAAGTCTTGCAAAATCACAACTTCTAACTGGAATTGAATGCGATTTGATTTCCCGTGTGTTTACAGCCTTAGTGTTCTGAACTTCTTGCTCAAGTCCAGAAGGAATGCATTGTCTTCTCTAAATGGTTAACAGAGAGTTGCTTTTCCTTTCAGCAAGTCACAGAAGCTGTGAGCCCTTCAGTGCTGCCCCCTTCAGCTTTGCCGCTGGACCAGCTCAATAACGCGGTCACTGCCTTCAGCACCTTGGAAGACCTTATTCGCTATCTTGAACCAGACAGATGGCAGTTGGACTTAGAAGATCTATATAGGCCAGGTTGGCAACTTCTTGGCAAGGCTTTTGTTTTTGGAAGAAAATCCAGAGGTAAGCTCTCTCTTCAGATTAGAATCTCATTTCATTTCCTTAGCAGCTGATGTTTTAGATTCTTCTGTCATAGCTTCTAGTGAGTTGAGTTTAAAACTCTTCAGTGGTATATTTAAATAATCCATTTTTATAACATTTGAATATACTTGCATATCAAATAAGAACACATATAAAAGAGGGCACTTCATTATCACTCAGTGAATTTGGAAGATATAAATGGAATCTTTTGCTCAATATTCTTGTCATTTTTTAATTCAAAAATATCATTTTGATGGTCTTCTATTATATTTTACAAGAATCAGTGCTTATTCAAACCTAATATATGGGGCATATTGATTTAGAGATTCAAGAGAGATTATCATAGCTGCTAAGGAATCAGGTTCGGAGCTGGAAAAGGGAAAGCTCTATCGAATTCATTATCTAACCTGTCCGGGAGGGTCAGGATTGTATCAATTTCTATTTCCAAATAATATGAAAAATAGCAATGGCTCACCATAAAATAGAACTAGCCGTTTCCAAGAGAGAAAGCATAGTAGGAAGGAACCCACACTATGATAACTTCTCTCTAAATTTACTTTTGAAATGATCACTTTTGACCATAAGAGCATATCTCTCTTCAAGAGTGAAGGTATTGATCACTACACTTGATTCCACATGGTCAAGAAATTGAAACTAATATTAACTGAGTTTGCTCTAAGGTTAGCTAATTTCCTAGTACCATTAGAATCCGAAAGCTTTCATATCAGACACAAATGAACATGTAATATAAATAACTGAATAATTGTAATATACCCAAAAACATCTGTTGAAGTCTGTCAGAAACATTGAAATCTGCCCCGTGTCACTTTGGAGAATAGGTTGACACTGTAAAATGTATGCAGAGGGAGCAATGTTTAGTTAATTTGAGTGATTCACAGGGCCAGACTGCACCAGACTTGTTCTTCTCAATCTTGTCAGAGAGAAGCCCGCTTCCGGCCCTTTCCTGCTAAGGGTTGCAGCCCTTCTGGGCGAGGAGCTTTCATCTCAGCAGGTCACGTTCAGACTTGCCCAACCATGGTCGTTTGCTATGCCAACAGACATGGTTTCCTTTCAGCGAGATTTGAAAGCGGCGTTCAAGTCCATGGGCAGCCGAATCTTGTCCAGATGCTGAAAGCTGTTACATATTTATAAGATTTGATCTTGATGAATAACTTGATGAATAACTTACGAACAATACTTCCCTTCCCTCCCACTTCAGAACAGGAAAATGAAGATCTGCGAGGCTGGCTGAAACAGCCATGAATAGAGCCTTTGTTAGCAAATTGGAAGTAGATGATCATGCTGATCTGTAAAGAGCAGAGGGAGTACACCAGGTTCTAAGCTCAGACCTAGTTTTTGATGGCTGATCTCGGGATTCGAACTTAAAAATCTTCCTTCTAGTCATATGCCTTTATGCCTGTACCTCTGCACTTGGTGATCAATGATTTGGCCAGCAGCTAGCAGATATTTTTAAAAGCATCCAGCACTGAACCAGATCTTTCAAATATTCATTTAGCACTTTCCAAATTGAAGCCCTTTGCTGTTTGCCAAAACTATTAACTTTTTAAGTATACAGTAAGTGCGAGAAAAGCAGTGTATATTTTTGGAACTTTACATAAACTAAAATGCAGGTGTGGGATAACATCTATATAGACAAACCCAACTTCCCTCCCAAGAGTCTTTCTACAAAGGAATGAGGAGTCAAACGTTTAAAAGCTTCTAATTAGACATTGAAATAGATTTTCCACAGAATAAACATATCACCATGTTACCACATTCATCTTAGAAAGACCACCCTCAGATTGCATTACAGTAATAGAATATTCTTGGGCTGAATATCTCAAAAGAATGAACAACAAACAAAATAAAATGTGAGCATGGTTGTTTTTTTTTCAGTCAAGCATTACCTTTTTTAGTAAAACTTGCAATATTGATGAATCTAAACAAGAAAATTTGCATTAGAAATAACTTTCATTGGTGTCATTGAGCTCAAAGTATTCATTCTTCAGGAAGACAAATTAATGAATAGATTGTCTTAGGTGGTAATTTTGGAAAGGAAATAAATTTCAATGCTAAGTTTTACTTTACAAAGATTTTGCAGAGGGAGGGAAAGTTCCATAATATTATAGTTAATTGTTTTTTTTGTGTGTGTGTGTTTTTAAGTATGTGTTGGGGCTTGATTTTTCTCTCCCTATCCCTTTTTCCTTTTATTATTATTATTATTATTATTATTATTATTATTATTACTTTGCCTAGAAATTCTGCACAGTGTTTAAAGAATTTGTGTTCCCAATTTATAAAAACAGGACTTACTTTAATGAAACTTAGGTGGGTTTGAAGCCTTAGAAATAGCAAGCATAATTTTCAGATATGATGACCAAATTTAAAATCCTTATTGTATTTTTAGCCCAGAGTGGACAGCACTAATGTTTTTCTCTTCCATTATTTTCCCTTTCTTCTTCTGGTTCAGGGCTCTCATTCATACCATGCTACTACAGAAAAAAAGAAAAAAAGCATATTTTCTAAGTCAGGCTTAACTAGTACTTAAAAAGGGCTTTTGACTTTTGTGTCAAACATGATAAATGAGTGGAAGCTAAGTTGAAAGTGTGTTTAAATTTTCACATTGTAGCAGGTATCATAACTTAGTTCACTTGGGAAATCTATCTAACCTTTTATTGTGGTTAAGTAAACATTTTAAAGTGAACATATACAGTCTCATTTTCTAGTTTCATGAAATAGTGTGTTTAAAAGTATTTGAGGTAGATGAATATCCTTTCAAAGCTAAGAGCTTCATTCACATTCTAAAGAAGCATAAATCTTAAATAAGCGTCACAAATGTTGGCAACTGGCTTCTGTATGTGCATGCATGTTTTAGGTTTTCTCCCTTTCTTAATCAGATAGTAACGTCTAGAGAAAATATTCAAATAAGCTCATATGTAGCTTTAACAATAAAGAGCAGTATGTGCATGTGCTATTATTGCATCAAAATGAAATCAGGTAAAATCAGGTGACATCACTTAACCTGGTTATCTCATTAATTTTATTAGAGATAAATTGGTCTTTTATAGCACTCAAAAAATGAACTCATTTCCCCTTAAATATTCAAAAGCTTTATTTTCACAGGATCATTTTTCAGGTGAAAAGGAAATCTTTAAATGCTCAAATAAAACTGTGATTTTTCTATTGAGATGGGAAAGATAATTTTTAACTGAATAAGATGTTGAAATTAACCTATTGAATTAGCATTTCTTGGTGTTCTCCTAACTATGACTAAGATTTTAGTCAACCAAATAGTTTACATTTATGATTGCATATGCATAACTGATAAAACATCTCTGGAAAACACATGAACTCCCTTGACATTTAGAAAAATTTGATCATATATACAATATAACATAGCCAAGAAAATAAACATTTGATTCATGGTTACCTTGTTATTTTAAAATATTGGACTTAATTTTTAAAATGGGATTACATACTCATGATTATTATTTGAAGCAATCGTTAACCAGAGAATATTTTTTCTTTTCCCTCAATTCTTGTTTATAATGTTTCCAATATTAGCAAAAGGTATTTAACTAGATTTATTACATTTTAGATAATTTTCCTAAAGTTTAATAAACCATTGATTTTATTAATGGAAAAAAGCTCTGATCAATTATATGTTATGCAAAACTCTTCAATTTTATTGGATTTTTTTATTTGAATATCTTTAAAGGGAAAAAATCAAAGTTATAAAGCAGAAGTTAAAATTATATTACAGATGCTTATCATAATTGACTATTATTTATATCTTAGATATAAATTCATATTAAACATTACATCTTATTTTGATATAATTTCACTAAAGCAGCATAATTTTGTGGTTAAAAACAATGGTTCTTTGAGACTTTAATATTGATCAAAGGATATTTTGTTTGGTCTTGACAAATAGATACTGTTTTAAAGAATAAAGCACAGCATAGCTAACCAACTTGTTAAAAGAATAGAGACAATGGCTATACATTAGACATTTCTTCCATCCTTGAGAAGAAGAATAGAAATCTGGGTTAAGTTGAATTTCAAAGGCCAGAAATTCTCAATGTACCAGAAGCAGTGCTTTCCAACCATCTCTGCTCTTTTAAAATGTATCTTTCTTTTTTCCACTTCACGCTCCACTCAGCCATCTTCAAAATTTCATTTTCTTCATTTCCTTTTTTACATTTTATGATTCTTTTGCCAGAAAGATTATAAGAAAGTTTTGTCGACAAGTTTCTTTATGTTGTTCTTCATTAATGGCATGAGCTTGTAATCTTTTTAAAACTTGCATTTATTTTTTAATCAAAGTATTCATTATTTGGCAGTCTATTCTTCCCTCCAATAGTCTCCTTGTTTACTTTTTTACTAAGGTTAAAAGGTGTAGCCCTCTTTTTCCTCTGTAGTTCCTATTTATAGCTCTCAACTGTTTTGTTGGCTCTGTTCTTAACATTGCACAATGGCATCTCTTTATTGGACACTAAATCATAATGAAGCTTTGTTTACTATAAAATAGAAAGTCCAACTTGCAAGCTGCACAGCTCCCAAACATAGCTACAATAAGGAGGGATATTGTCAGGATTATTGTTCATGACGTAGTTTGATTTCTTTATGAAAAGAGTTTAATGGAATATGTTCAAGTCCAGAGCATGAACATCTATTTTTCTTCTTTCTTTTATGCCATGCAGTGGTGGATCTGAACCTTCTAAAAGAGGAGGTAAGGTTGTACAGCTGCACACCTCGTAACTTCTCAGTGTCCATAAGGGAAGAGCTAAAGAGAACCGATACTATTTTCTGGCCAGGTTGTCTCCTGGTTAAGCGCTGTGGTGGAAACTGTGCCTGTTGTCTCCACAACTGCAATGAGTGTCAATGTGTCCCAAGCAAAGTGACTAAAAAATACCATGAGGTAGGTATATCATTTTATTTTTGGGTTCCTTTGGGTATTTTGTTGCTTTAAAAATAACAAAACAGTGTATCTGAAATGAATTTTTGTTTGGGAGGATGTAGCATTCATTAAAAAAACACACCCACAAATACACTTTATGTTCTCATTTTTAAAAGTAGGACCTTTAACTCAAATAACCAGACATTAAATATTTTGAAAGCTTATCCTCTGATAGTACACCATAGGTGGTCAGTGAAATTTTCCTCTCTCATACAAAAAAAAATGTGTTCTTTTATATGGTAAAATATGGGTGAAACCTTTCAACTTTTCAAAAGCTGAAGGGAAATATTTTAAAGAGAAACTTGGAGATGAGTCATTGTCTAATTTGGAGAGAGAAAATCTTTGATATTTATTTTTCCATTTGAGGCAGTGTAGGCACCTATATCCCAAGAAGACACATTCATAATTATATCCATCTTCCTATTATTCATATTGCCCCAAAGAGCATGTTATGGATGCTTCACCCTTTTATCTTTTTACAGAATCAAGAAAACTCCAATATTAAAACTTAGCAATTGTTGTTTTTCAGAGCCTTGGGAACCTTAGAACTGATACACTCCAAATTCTCCATGATGCTAGAATATTCCAAATTCTATCTCACTCTCTCTCTCCAGGAGCATCGTGTAGCATTCATACATTAGGAAGCAATTCCTTCTTGATGAGTCAACTTTGATTTTTACAAAACCTTTACATTACACCAAGCCAAAATCAATCTTTTTGACTTAATTTCAATATAGCTTCATTTCAGTAGTTTTTTATTTTTTCTACTAAATAAAAGAATCTTCAAAAGTAAATATCTGATTAAGAAGTAAAGTGACTTTTTTGACTTGCATAAAGATATCAATGTAACCCTTATCTGTTAGGTAATCTAAACATGGACAGTGTCATAAGCTATACCGCCTATGACATGGTTGTCCTACCCTTCAACAACATTGTGTTGGCAGCTGGGAAAGTGAGGGGGGAGGAAGCACTGGATTCCAGAAGAAATGGACCCTGTTTCCATCCTAGATCTATCTTTAACTTGTAACCATCAACGGGGTACTGAGCCTCAATGAAATAGCATAAGATGTGAGAATTATCTGTTTTTTCCTAGCTATGTTATTCCAAGGCAATTACTAGATTGCGGTTTTCAAAAGAAAAATCCCAAACTAGAAGCCTGTGATTAAAAATAGGACAATTTACTGCCAGTACTCATGTCCTACTTTCATGTCTACACTGCATTCTTCTAAGGCGCCTTGTGCCGGGAGCAGTCTCCGCTCCAGTTACAGGAAGTAGACAGTTATGAGCATGGTGGCTCAAGAAGCCCCAGCCAGCCTGATTGCTGATCCATGAACTGGGGTATCTAGTCAAGAAGAAACCCTCCATATAGTCATTCTTAAGCAGATTAAACTTAAAATACCTTACAGGCCAGGCTGATACTAGAGTTGAATGGCCTAACATAAAAGGATGTAATGAGAATAGGAATTAAACTTGAGTGATCTTTTCCCACCTAAAGTCATTCGATTTTGAACTATTTTAAAGCAAGTTTTTACTAAACAAAGTACATTTGGGGACCTGATGTAGCCTACAGGTCTTGGGTATATGACACCATTCTAAGAGCTATAAAATCCAGACCAGCTATATTAACCTTCTTAAGCCAGCCTCTCAGATGCTGGATCCATGCAATGCTTTTAGTCAGATAAATCAGTCTTCCGTGAAGCATATCCTCTTCCATGCTATACTTTTAAATTTATTTTCAAATAACATTAGTTGTAGGGTTATGCAGGAAGTTGCCAAAGAGTTTGTAATATCTGTTTTAAAATCTCAGGTAAAACTTGTGTGGGGAAAGGCTGTGGACACTGCTTATAGGATCACTGCCCTTCCAGAATGGCAATGATCCATTACGCACTAGTCTTTGGGTGGGGTTGGTTACATATGCATTATATATAGGCACACGTGTATACCTTTATGTGTGTAATTCAGCGGTTCTCAACCTGTGGGTCACGATCCCTTTGGCGGTCGAACAACCCTTTCACAGGGGTCGCCTAAGACCATCCTGCATATCAGATATTTACATTACGATTCATAACAGTAGCAACATTACAGTTATGAAGTAGCAACGAAAATAATTTTATGGTTGGGTCACAACATGAGGAACTGTATTGAAAGGGCCAGAAGGTTGAGAACCACTGGGTAATTAGCTGGCCATCGAGTGTAAGTTTCCCACATCCCTAAAGTGTGTATGTATAGCAATATCATTGCCTTGTCACCTGCTTCAAATTTCTCATAAATAGCTCCAGTAATAGCCTTGTCTTAATTTCTTATCATTTTTCTGTGATCATCTTTTTTATAAAATATCAAATTACTCTGAAAAAAGTGGGGGGTGCATTTGATGTAATTCATCATTCCTGAGCCCTGTATTTTTCTTGGTTTTATATTTTGGAAATAAGTTCTGAGTCTAATACTACTCCTGAATAAATGAAATTATTTTTTATATATAACTTAAAATATTATTGATATTTTATATTACTTGGGCTTTCATTCTTTTTGATGAGCAGTGTTCTCATTTACACTTTGAAGATTTTTCCACCTCATGGAAAGGCAGAAGCAAAGACAGAGCTTAAAAGTTCTAAGTTTTTTTTCCTTCATCTCTACTATACCAGCTTTACCATCTCTACTATACCAGTATTATCTTGTTTACCTTGTTTATATCTTCATATATCTAATTTCATTTTTCATAATTTAAAGTATAGTCTTTTTTATGCTTAGATCTATTTATTTGGGAGGGAAATATACCATTCAATTGACTTATTCTAATAATGAGTCCCATCCTCCAAGGTTCTATGACACCCCAAAATGTAAGGGCACTTTGCATACTTTGGGCAATGGTACCTGTGCCTCTATTCCTTGATGGTTCCTTCTGTACCTAATCTTTTCCTTTCCACTGGTTTTAGCTTTACCCTGGATTATTTTTTCATGTGCTTGCATTTAGAGTTTGAACTGCTCCCTCAAAATTTTGTGAGATATTCTTCTGCTTGTTTTTTTCTTCTGGTGTCCTAAACTGTGTCCTGAAAATCCAATGATCATCATTCATATTATCTGGGACCTGCTGGTCATGGTCCAAGTCTAACTTTCTCTTCACAAGTGAGAACTTTCAAACAGAACCGAGATAGAAAACAATAAGTATGGTCCCACCAGCTTGTGTAAGAATTTCTTATCCAAGACTTCAACATCACTAGGACATAGAGAGATTATTCTTCTATCTGATCTCCACAAACATCCATGGATGAAGACTGGGTGTGTGTGTGAGAAGGGGCTTTTGTTTGGTGAATGCATCTTGACATAAGCACTGCTAGGGGGTGGAAGGGTTGTAAGGTTGCAGCTTAGCCTGTTAGGATGGCATATGGTAGCCTTCCTTACCTTTCCCTTTCATAGTAATTTTTCCCTTGCCAACTGGGAAAAGGTATACACGTGGAGATAGGAATTAAAGACATGGGCTATGCCAATATTGCAATTTATCTGTCTTCCTAACCACATTAAAATAGTATATTTTTAGTCATTTTTATTCTAGCATTATGAAATGTAATAAAAATCTAATTTAGAAGTTGACTATTTCCCATAGTTATTTTAAGACTTGCAGTTTATCTTTCTGCAAAGAAAGTTACTAAATAAATAGAATGCATGACTAGGTATATTCTGAGTCTTCATAAAATTATTATCTATTGCTCTAATAATTCATATTTGGCCGAAGTACAAATACTGGCTATGCCACTTATTCTCTCTAAGCTTCTGTTCACTCATGTGTAAAATAGGGAGAATAGTTATAAATTACTTCATAGAATTCTTGTGAGTTAAAGTCTGTAAAATCCTTATTATAGTGGCTAGCACTCATAAGCATTCAAAAAATGTTAGCTAATTAACCTTCGGTATGACCACATTCTCCAAATGAGTTATACATTCTTTTTTTTTCTTCTTATTTTAATCTTCAAGAAGAACAGTCATAAGACTTGACTTGTGCCTTTTTGGATTAATGAAAATGTCCAGGAACTTTTAGAAGTTGCTCTATGAAGTTATCTGTGTCATACCCAGAGAGCAAAGAAACTAGACAACTTCATGTTATTATGTGCTCTACGGTTTGTTTATAATTCAAACATAAATTCTAAAAAATGTATCATTTCTATTATAAGAAATAAAATGTAATGCACATTAAATAGATCATTCTTTTCAAGTACATCAGGTAGTCTTTTATAAAATACACTAGAGGCCCAATGCACGAAATTCCTGCAAGGGGCTTGGCCCTTGTAGCCCCAGCTTCATCTGGAAGGTCGTCCAGAAGGACATCTGGAAGGATGTCTGGTCTAATTAGCATACTAAGTTTTTATTATTATAGAAAAGCTATGTCCTTTTGTTGTGTTGAACAGACTTATGTTTAGCATCATTTTCTATTTTGCCATATATTTTATTAAAAATCCCAGCAACCCAAACTGCAAGTAACTAAGTAACTGCATTAAATAGAGCCATTACTGTCATTGCCAAATCTCCGTATACTGCACAGTAGGACCCAGCTGCAGAAAGTTAGCTGTGACGGAGGCTGATGTCTCTGAAGTACATCTAATCCATCTCATCAAGTTTACAGAGGACTTGAGGTGTAGCCAAGAAAATTAATGAGTGGCATAATTGAGCAAACTCAGCTGCAGAGTGATCACGTTTCTTTTCACAGTACCGCAGTACTTGTGCGTATTGCTTCAAGCATAAATATTTGTTAAATGTGCGAACAAATGAATGACTGAAAGAAGCTAACAAACAGAAAAATTAATCGTGCCGTAGTGGTTCCAAAATACATCACCAAGGTGAAATTTCTCCGTATTGTTAAATGAGTAAAATAAAGTGTGCATAGTGACTCTTTCCATGTAAGGACTGTTCTTTATTCTGAAGCAGCGCCCTTCCAAATTGTTGGTATTGAAATATCCTTGCTTTCATGAAAATTGATCATGTATGATTTTTTTGAGGGGTGGGGGGTTATATTCGTAATGCCTTTACTAAGAAAAAAACACAAAATCTATAGATCTTTGTTGGGCCCACATTTTTTTTTTCTGAAATTTTACTTGTCTGTGAACCCATACAGGATAGATATTGATTGATTTTAACGGTCGTTTACATTGTTTCCTTCAGGTCCTTCAGTTGAGACCAAAGATTGGTGTCAGGGGATTGCATAAATCTCTCACTGACGTGGCCCTGGAGCACCATGAGGAGTGTGACTGTGTGTGCAGAGGGAACGCCGGAGGATAACGCATCGCCACATGCCGCCTTCGCCCGGCAGCGCAGCGCAGCGGCTGGCTCTCTTATAGAACTGATGCGTTACCGCCATCCATAATCTCAGTTGTTTGCTTCAGGGACCTTTCAGCCTTCAGGATTTACAGTGTGTTCTGAAAGAGGAGACACCAACCGGAATTAGGAGTTGTGCAACAGCTCTCTTGAGAGGAGGCCCCAATGACAGGGAAAAGGTCTCCGGGCATGGAAAAAATGTTAAATGTTGTAGATCACTAGCTAGTTACAGAGTTACCATGCACTTACTCAGCTGGCTGTGTTCTATGTTTCAGTTGTCTTGATATGACTTAGTTAATGTCAGTACAGGAAGGAAATGAGTGCGGATGGGCACCTGATTCTATTGCCTTGCTTATTAACTCTCAAGCTCCATATTCTGGGCCTAAAAATCACAGAAATCTGGAATTTTTCCCTTATAGTCACATGTATAAACCAGAGTGTTCTATGGCCTACAAACTTGGTTTTGGGGAAAAAAGGAACTATGTTGCTATAAATCAAACTTTTGTCCTGTTGATAAGAAAGACTGGATTTTCCATATTTCTTATAAAATATTTCTGTCATTTAGAAGACACGAACTACATTTCATGGTGTGGAAGAGACAAACCTGAAAACAAGAGTGGCCTTGCCTTCACTTTATCTATAAGTTGGTTTATTTGTTTTATTGTGTACATTTTTATATTCTCCTTTTGACATTATAACGGTTTGCTTTTCTAATCTTGTTAAATATATCTATTTTTACCAAAGGTATTTAATATTCCTTTTTTATGACAACCTAGATCAACTATTTTTAGCTTGGTAAATTTTTCTAAACAGAATTGTTATAGCCAGAGGAACAAAGATTATATGAAATATTGTTGCTCTGACAAAAATACATGTATTTCACTCTTAGACGGTGCTAGAGCTTAGATTAATTTGCATTTTAAAATATTGAAATGGGAAATAAATAGAATTTGGTACATTGTGAACACTTTTGAAGATAAGTAAGTGATCATATCCTCCACTCCTGTTATTGGAGATGCAAATAAAAAGTGACATAGGGACATAGGGAAATAGAAATCGGATCCATCATTACTCACCCCGAACCCTTATTGTGGGAAGTGCGAGCCTAGCTCAGAAGAACACAAAGCACCTTGAAAAAAGAGACTCAATGGCTTCCTGAAAAGCTCTGCTGTCCTGTAGGAACACATCCTATTTATTGCGATGTTCTGGTTTTATTCTCTTGAAACTCTGTTCCACACGCTTGTATAAATACATGGATATTTTAATGTACAGAAGTATATCCCTTAACCAATTCACATATTGTACTCTTTGGCAATTGAAAAGGAAATCAGTAAAATACTTGGCTTGTAAATGCTTAATATTGTGCCTAGGTTATGTGGTGGCTATTTGAATTAAAAATGTATTGAATCACCAAATAAAAGAATGTGGCTATTTTGGGGAGAAACTCGAGTGTGTGTGTGTGTGTGTGTGTGTGTGTGTGTGTGTGTAAGATTTGTCTCTGAAACTCCCAGAAGGTGAGAAGTGATAAAATTTCTTGTTACCATAAATTTTCATTAAGCAAAAGTGTATGTCAGTTTAGAAGACAAGTAATGAAGTGGGTATTTCTATTGAGGCTTCTCTGTCTCTTGTCTCCAATGCTTTTTAAAAAAATAAATATTTTTGTTGATTTCAGAGAGGGAGGGAGAGGGAGAGAGACAGAAACATTAATGATGAGAAAGAATCATTGATTGGCTGCCTCCTGCATGTCCCACACTGGGGATAGAGCCCATAACCTGGGCCTCTGGCCCCACTAGAATGGAACTGCGACCTCCTAGTTCACAGGTTAACCCTCAATGACTGAGCCATGCCAGCCAGGCCTCCAATGCTTTTCAGCAGTAGTTTCCTTTTTCTCACTGGTCTGGATACTTATTTCTGGTCAGTTAAATTGCAAATGACTTGAAAGTTGTCATGTGACTTGTGAAATGCTTAATGATTGATTATATAGTAATATAAAATTGGAGAAAAAAACAATCCTGTAACTTGCCACTCATGTTTTAATTTTCAATGGCAAATCCTTACTGGGGTAAGCCTGAATGCATTTGGCAACTGGATTGATGTATTTTACATAAGACACTGCAAGGTGTGAATCCCCAATTTCAATTGTAGATTTCTATTTGGGCTGATGTCTTATCTCTGCCTTTCAACTTGCCTGAGACAGGAGGACCCAGAGCCTTGCTGTCCTCAGACACTTCTTCTAAGCAGTGCTCTTTTTGGGGTACTTTTCCATCTGGCAATCCTACCCTGCACACAAACACATGAAAAGCAAATGAATAAAATGAACATTCATGTTTTGTCTTATTGCTTTACCTTCTCATAGTTTTGCCCCAGACTTATGAAGCTTACTAGATACAGCTTACCGGTGCTCCACTGAAAATACAATGCCCTGTATCTCTCTCTTGACAATTCATAACTCATTGAAGTAGTAAAAACTCCTTTCAGTCTTACAATAAATGACCCATGTAATGGTTTAAACCAGCATTTCCAACCTTTGAATGAAACATCTTTCCCTTTTTTTTAATATTTATTTTATTTACATATAAAATGTTGAATAGAACATCTTTCCTTTTTGTTTGTTTTTAATATTTATTTTATCCTACATAATAAAAGGCTAATAGGCAAACAGACCAAACAGTGGAACAACCAAACAACTAGTCTCTATGACATGTGCTGACCACCATGGCGTGCACGCAGAACATAGTGGGTGTCGGCTTCTCTACCTCCCCATGCTCCTGAGGGGTGATCAGGGCTGGAAGCCACCTCTCTCAGCTCCTGCCGCAACGGCCCTGCTCACACCTGCTGACGGTGTCAGAGCTGCCACTCACACCCACTGCCAGCGCCTGGTGCTGGTCCCGATTGCCCCTGAGGGCTTCTCCACCTCCCTCTGCTCATGAGGGGGGTTCGGGGCAGCAGCCTCTGCTTGCACCCATTGACAGCCCCAGCCCCGCTTGCAAACCCTGCTGGCGCCAGCCCCAATCACTCCACGCAGTCAGCAGGTGCAAGCGGGGCTGGCACCGTCAGCGTGTGGGAGTGGCAGTGGCCATAGCGGGGCTGCTGGCAGACAGGGAACTGGGGGCCACAGTGGGAGGGGCTGAGCAGGGGTGTGGAGGATGGGCCAAGACTGCTCCTGTGCCCACAGCAGCCTCACAGCCCACAGTTCCTTTCAAGGTGCACGAATTCATGCACTGGCCCCCTAGTTTACATATAAAATGTTGAAAGACAAAGGAAATTATTCTATAAAGGTAGTAGTGCCAAGTACTCTTGCCAGTCAGTGGGTGAAAAAGGTGTGAGGTATAATAAATACTTAATACTTACAATTCTTACTGTGCATTTTATTTCCCATCAATGGCACATGTGACTATAATTTCTCAGAATCCCAAAAAAGTATTGATTATATTTACCTCAAACTGTTTTGTATGTGTGACATATGCCTTCATCCCTGAGGGATGAACTACTTTGCCTAGTGATTTTATAAAATAAAAGAGGCAGCTTAACTGGCAGATATCAGGCTTTCATGTCTATATTTTTCATTTCCACATCTCATCCCCTTTCTCATCTAATAATCATGTGCACTTTGAAAATATATAAATAGCAGTAATGAGAATCTACACCGAAAGCATGACTCCATTTCTTTATACTTGTGGCTGGGTTTAAGGAATGAGAGAAAATACAAATCTTATTTAATATCACTTAATATCAGACACTTAATATCATGTAATACCCTTTTCTCCAAAAGCATTGTGATATTTAAAACTGTTTTAATTACTTATGATAAATCCCATTAAAATCCATAAATATCATAACCCTTTATATTCATAGGAAGTAGAAAAATGAAAATAAAACAGCTCATTTGCTTTACATTCCTTTATGCGTCATATGTAATTAATCAGTAAGTCCACCCATCAACTTTGCCTTTTCAATTCCTCTTGTATTGGTGCCTATCTCTCCGTTTCTGTAGGTGCTGTCCTGATTTAGACCCTCCTGCCTCAGCCCCATTTTACTGCAATAACCTTTTCCACATTTCCTGCCTTTAGTCTCACTCCCCTCTGACCCACCCTCTGCACCACTAACAGAAAGATCATTCAAACAAATCCAATTGTTGTCAGTTGGGTGGAAATTTTACAATGGAACTCCACAAGACTGGATTTTAATTCTTTGCATGGCACTCAACATCCATCATCTCATTTCTGCTCATTTTGCACCATCAAGCCTAATCTATAGCTCTGGTGATCCTTGCGTTTTCCTGAAAACATCTGCATTCCCTCACATGTCTGCCAACACATACTGCGTTCTCTTCGGGTCCCTGTTCCTACACGTGGCTACTCAGTAATTTCTCCCAAGTCTCAGCCGAAAGGTCACTCTTCAGTGAAGCTTTTCTTCCTTAATTGCCGCCAACAGCCGTGGGCTGCATTTCTCCTGTGCTCTGAGAAGAATGTTTCCCTTATAAATATTGTCATACTGCAGAATGACCAGCCCTCATTTTGATTTATCATTAGGCTTTTAGTCTAATGAAATAAGTGATTTAAAAAAACATACAGCACTTAGCTTTAGCTGGTTTTGCTCAGTGGATAGAGCATTGGCCCGTGAACTGAAGGATCCCGAGTTCAATTCCAATCAAGGGCATGTACCTCGGTTGCAGGCTGAATCCCAGGCCCAGGTTGGGGTGTGTGCAGGAGGTAACCAATTGATGTGTTTCTCTCTGTCTCTCCACCTCCTGTCCACTCTCTCTAAAAATAAATGGAAAAATATCCTTGGGTAAGGATTAACAACAATGACAACCATATATATATATATATATGTATATATATATATATATACATATATATATATATATATATATATATATATATATATATATATATATATATATAAATTTTTTTTTCACCGAATATGACATCAGGAACTCTGGAGTTCCAAAATATCTCTGAGTTTCAGCTACCTAATCTGTAAAATGAAGGAGGTAATCCATGGGAGCTGGTACTTTTTAGTTCTAATCAGTTCAGTGTACTGGTTATGTTGGGGCACCTACCAACAAGATAAAAATATCTGTTCCTTGTAATGTGACACCATTTCCCCCGCTCTCACAATGCTTTGAAACTAAATGTTTGGTTTTCCATGTAATGATTTTCTTACCAACCATATCTCATATATCACTTCTTTTCAGAGTTAAAGAGATTTACTAATTCATTCTGGTATTATTCAGATTTTGGATACTTATTTACTAGTATGATTACGTTTTCTGAGATAGAATTTAAAAGTCTTTAAAATGTGAACATATAGACATATGAGTAATTGTGATTCATAATCTCCTCATCGTTTACTTCTTGACTCACTTTGTATCATCAAACCTAACATAGCGTTCTAGTGAGTACTCACAGCTTCCTGAAAACACGGTACAGAATTCCCACGCATCCCTGTTTCAGCACATGCTATGTTCTTTCTTTGGAGCACTGTTCCTACACTTACCTATTTCAACCATTTCCTTTCCTGTCTATTACATTGTTAATTACATGCTTTTGTGCTCTGCCTGAGCATTCAGAGCTACCTACACCAAATCCAATTTCTTTCATAACTGCTAAGCCATTATGGTAAATCTATTCATTATAAATCTATGTAAAATTTAAGAAAGAGATTCAGTATTGGGGTGGGATGTGTATGTTATAAAATTAATAACTAGTTATTTTTAAATTATATATACAATTCCAGTTATTTTTAAATGAAGAAATTACAAAGCTCTTCTTAAAATTCATATGGAAATTCAGGGGGCCAAAAATAGCCAAAAAGTTATGAAAAGTAATGACAAAATTGGATGATTCCCAATATCAAAATTTACTATTAAGTCATAGAAATAGCATGATAAGTTTTATGAGTTTAAACATACAAAGCAATGGTATAGAATTGAGAGTCCAGAAGTAAACCCTCCATTTATGCACTCGGTGAAAGAGTATTCTTTTCAACAAATGTTGCTACAACAACTGGATATTCAAAATGTATCTAGGACAACTATATATGCAAAAAAATAAATTTGGACTGTTTCCTCATACCATATACAAAAATTAACACAAAATAATTCAAAGATAAATGTAAAAGATAAAACTATGATCTCTTAAAAAGACATGTAGGAGAAAATTCTGATGACCTTAATTTAGACAATATTTCTCAGATATGATGCCAAAAGAAAGAACATAAACCGGACAGTATCAAACTTAAAAGTTTTTGTGTTTCAAGGACACTATCAAGAAAATTAAATAGATAACCCACATAACGGGGGGAAATATTTGCTGTTCATATATCTAATTTCAGTCTTGTATCTACATTATATAAAGGACTCTTATAACTCAACAATAAAAAGGTAATTAACTCAACTGAAAAGTGAGCTAAGGCTTCTGAAGTGCTTGC